ACTGTTTTGCTCCTCACTGACTCGTAGTCATAGCTCCCAAACCTTGTCAGTTGGTAGAACACATAAAAATCACGGTGTTCTCTTGGAAATCTTCATGTATCTAATTCCCTCATATGGCAGTTTTATAGAGGAAATGGACCTGAATTTTCCATTTATATTTGTTGGCTACTTTTTTGTCCCTAGAATGTTCCCTAGAAACTTAGAAATTGAGGAAATTCTATCCATTAAAATCTGGGCACTAGGAGGACCATCACCACTCTGGTTTTTTGCTTCAGAACAATTCTTTCAGTCACAGATAGCTGGATTCAAAGGAGCACAGTCAGAAGCACTGGCCTAGTTAGAGAAAAGGACAAATTCAGGCCTTGGTTCTGCACTGTTGCTTCAGTCTAAAGAGTGCTGTCACTCCACAGCCCACTGCAGAATGGGAGCTTTTAGGAGGCAAGGCCCTTATGGGGTGGTTTTCTTCTGCCCTCCTGGAACACTGGAAGAGCCCAGTACTGCTACATCTTCTTGAGATCCTGAGAGGGGAAGGTAGTGGAGGAACCCAGGATGTCATGGTGTCAGTGTAGGAAATGAATGTTTGGTAGGCAGTGCTTGCAGGGAGATGTAACTGCTGTATTTTAGCCCCAATGTCCATCCATGCCTATTGTTTTCTCTTTCAGCTTCGGCTTCATTAACGCCAGATTTCTTATCTCCAGGAAGTTCAAATGTCTCTTCTCCCTTACCTTGTTTTGGATCCTCATTCCACTCTACAACTTCCTTTGTCATTAGTGACATCACCGAGGAGACCGAGGTAGAGGTCCCTGAGCTTCCATCAGTCCCCCTGCTTTGTTCTGCCAGCCCTGAATGTTGCAAACCAGAACACAAGGCTACCTGCAGCTCGTCTGAAGAAGATGACTGCGTCTCTCTGTCCAAGGCCAGCAGCTTTGCAGATATGATGGGTATCCTAAAGGACTTTCACCGGGTGAAGCAGAGCCAAGATCTGTAAGTATATTATAAGGAGCTGTGATGATCTGTTTATTGTTTAAGTTGCCTGTGGCCAATTATCTAATAGAAAGTACTTACATAGTAAGTCCTCAATAGTAGTCATGTGTTATTTCATTCACAAAGCTTGCTGCCTGCTTGCTCATGCCTGGGTCCCCAGTTTGAGGAAAGAGCAACACTTTACATTTGGTTGGGGTGACCTAACCCAACCAAATGTTGTTAGACTAATAGGGATTTTACAAGAAGGCTCATCTAATCCAGCTTCTGTCCCCCAGAGGGGCTTCACCACTTCAGTTTTCATACTGCTAGTGACAAGTGTCCCCATGCCCCACCCTTCAAAACATAATTGCATAATAGTTATTTTAGTATCTCAAAAAAGTAGACTTATTTGGTGAAAGGAACATTTCCTTTAAACACAGTGGTCCATTATTCAAACCAGCCCTGCAAATTCAGAGATTTACGAACAAGGCTTTTGAGACTCCTAGGTAGTTCCTAAACCTGGCTGCCTATCAGAATTGCTCAGATGTATTTAAAAAAATACACCTTAAACTTAACAAAGCAGAACCCCCAAGGAGTAGAGCTCTAGGAGTTTCTGATGTCAGTGTAAGGGGATGTGGGAAATACCTACCATGAGAAACTCATCTAGCAGAGAAGCCCTAGAGCTCCAGCCTGAGGGAGTCACCACCTTGCAGTGTTTCCCTACCGCACAGGACATACCAGAAGAGCTTATTCAAATGCAGGTTCCTGGGCATTGAAATACTTGACATCCAAACCTCAAAATCCAGAGGCCAGATGTGCAGCTGTATTTGTTAATGCAGTTAAAAAGCTGTTTTGTGGGGTGGGGAGGTGAGGGCTGTCTCCTGAGCTGACGAAGTTCCTCTTAAAGGAATAGTGACTCACCTCGCACAAGGATCCCTTTGTGGCCCCATTTTCTTCTGAAAACTAGACAAGGGTCCTGGTAGTCGATTCTGTAGGAAGGTTACTTTTACCTTCCTTCTCTGGCCATACGGACCCGCAGTTCTTTGGTCTCCTGTATTCCCAAATTCAGCTGCTGCCGCTGCTTTGGGGCCACACTGAGCCTTTTTCTTCTGGTCAATGTTTTATAGATTGGACTCTCCAACCTTCTTATACCTGCCTCTTGTACCATATTAGATCTGTGACCCCCTACTGCCAAGCCCTTCCTCTCACTTGTGTCCTGGGCCCTTTCCTCCTTTGTTGATAGAAGGAGCTGGGGGTTGATGACTAAGGAGCTGGCTTGATGACTAAGAACGGGAAAGTAGCACCATCTTCAGGGTTCAGAAATGTGACAGACTGAAGGCAGTTCCTCTTTTTGTTTTCAAGGTTTAATAATCAATCTTGGCCTTTACATCTAGCATAATGACCAATAAAATGCTTTCATGAGGATGTATGTATGTAAGAGTTCACTAGAATTTCAAGCAACTATTTTCCAGGAAAATACCTGATGTTATCAGGTAATTTGAACCTACCCTAATCTGAAACTGGTTTTATTCCCACGGGTCCCTTATGATGTGAACATTTTACTATAAATTCTGGATTGCTTATAAAAAACCTCTCAGTTTCCCTGACAGGGAGCTGAGGTAATAGTAAATCCTCAGCACACCTTTTCCCCAGAACGAATAAATGTCAGAAAAGCCAAGAGTCATCAGTCATTTCCCCTGCTGACCTGGGGAAATGCTACTAAGAAAAGATAGGGCCAGAAGGTGGGAGCAGAAGCTTAGCCACCACAGGCCAATACCAACAGGTTTGCCCACATTTTGTAGCCATTTTAGGAAACAGCAAAGCCATGTCTAGTTAAGAGATGAGATTTGTAACCAGCAAGCTTGGTTTTGAACTGTGGATTCACCACTTACTGAGTGACTAATGACTTTGGGTAAATTCATAACCTCAGTGTGCTTCAGTTTCCTCATCTGTAAAAGGATTGTAGTAGCTCCTACCTCATAAGAGTGTTGTGAGGATTAAATGAGATTGCATTCCAACACACAAAACACTGCCCAGGGCAGAGTAAGTACTCAATAAATACAAGCTATTATTGTGTCTCTAGGAACCGGAGTTTATTGAAGGAGGAAGACCCAGCCCTCCTTATCTCTGAGGTCCTAAGGAGGAAGTTTGCGCTGAAGGAAGAAGATATCAGTAGAAAAGGAAACTGATGGCACTCAGCTCTGCAAACTCAGTCTCATGCTCCTGGAATTCTTTCAATAGCTGCCTTCCTCACTGCAGATGTTTCTGCCTCTCAATTAGAAATCTTCTGCAACAGTCTGGCCAAAAGCTAGAGCTTGGACTAAGAGAAGAGCTGCATTATATGTTTTCTGTACTTCAAACCTTAGCAGAAGCTGCCTGTTTTGAGCTGAGACACGTTACAGGTAATTGTGTAGGTTGGAATGTCCCAGTTTAAAGGGTGAGATAGAAGTTTCTGGTTTTTCCTTGCCCCTGTGTGAAAATAGGTCCTAAATGAATGACTGACTTCACTGCACTAGACCCCATAACTGGTCTCACTGAACACTTCGTGCCCAGCTGTCACTTACTCTCAGCCAGTTCCTTGCAGCAGAGCAGGGCTGAGGGGAGGGGGCTATGTTTATGTACATGTTCACAGGGCAGGGAAAATCTTATGCTGCTCCATCATGAACTGACACCAGTGCCCAGCAATCACTCTCTCCCCCTTCTCTGTCCAACACCTACATGTAGAGGTCGAGCCACTGGACCAGCTGACACTTGGGCTACTGGGAGGCCTGGGCTGTTTTTTCTTAAATATATTTTGTAATACTGTACAACCAAATCTACCCTCCAAGGCCCTGGGCCCTCATTGGTTCCACTAATTGAAAGCTCTTTCTCTTCCATGGACTTTAGTGTAAGTCCAGTAGGAAAGAGAAATGGAGATGGGAAAGAGTACCATCCTTCTTCCAGGCCCTTGACTGCTCCTTTGCATTGGGCCAAGGTTTGTACCTACCACACCATGCATGACTCAGATGCCCTCAGGTCCCTTTTCTCTACAGTATGTATCCTGTGTGTGTTTGGGTTGAAGCACTACCTGACATTAAAGGAAGGATTTGGAGAGAGATTGCATTTGCTGTGTCCATCTCTGAGTCGTGATCACCCAGTATCTCCCACAGGTATAGAATTTCTATTAATTTTAAGGTATATGAACTTCTTTAAACAGGTTCCTGGCTTCCCCTTGCCTTTAGAAGAGAAGGCTTCCCTAGGGAGCTTCTTATCTCTTTCTTTACAGAGAGATTTTGCCCTAACCTCTCAAAGCCGGTCCCCTCTTATAACTTGCAAGCTTGCCCCCCAGAGGCTTATTTTTAAGCCTCTTAGGTACCACACCTGCAACATGGGAAACTGCCACCTAGTGGATGTCTTGAGTAGAACACAAGTCAAATTAGACTTGTGTTCAGATCAGACCCATGGCAATGACAGCAGAGTTGCGTTTTCAAAAGTAAAATTGGTAAGTTTTAATTACCAGCAGAGCCAGCTTTGTAAACATTTATTTGGATTCATAGTTTGTTTTACAATGGGAGTTCTCTCCCACCTTGTAGTAGAAGAATGATATAGTCCCATTTAGATCGTTACATACATAGGTCAGCCTTTTTTAGGGAGATGTTTAAACATATAGTATATAACTTTAAAATGCTGTAAAGTTACCACAAAAATAAAATAACAAAAGTACCTAATCATCTACCTCTCTCTCTATCCTCCCTGCCCCTGTACACCTGGGTCTGGGAGATTTGCCTTATCACTCAAAAAAGTGTCAAGAATAATGGTCACAGCTTAGGTCGCATGGGTAAGATTACAGCCAGAGATTAAAAGACCACACATCCATAAAAAGCAGTATCCCAGTCAGGCATCTGAAAGGGCAAAGAGGTGGCTCTGTGCAGGCTGAGTAGCAGGCTCTTCAGTGGAGAGATGAGCACCTGCCCTGCCTCCTCAGTGTTCACCATAGACTCATGCAGGGAATATACCAGCCACCTCCTCCTCAGGGAGGGGCATGATGCCAATCATACTGTCTCAACAAGTGGCCACCTGCTTTATTTACACAAAGAAAATGCTCAATAATAACAGCATCATCCCATGCCTCCCTCCCACCCAAGATCATTCTCCTGAATGACCTTTCTAAAACAAAGATCTTACATTCCCCTACTCCAATATACTCACCCCCTGAAGATACTTTCTTATATGTCATTTCAAGGTACTTTTGGAACCAAACCCTCACAAAGACATTTAGACTTGGTGCCTGATAACTTGATTACCTTCAGAGTCCTGGGTAAAGAGCAAATCAGTCTGCAGATTTAACTGAGTGGTCCTATCCTGGCACTGAGCCCAAGGGCTGTTAAGAAGCTGTCCTAAGCCCTGATTTCGGTCATTGGTTACATCTCGGAAAGGAGCTCTAGAGTTGTGGGCAATGACCCTCTGGCCCTGAGAATCCTCGGTGAAAAGCTGACTCCAGGAGTCCTTGTCATTCTTTTCGCTGTCCCAGGAAAACACAGGAATAGGACAAGGGCTTTGTTTCACTGCTTCTTTGTTTGCTCCACTCCAGGAATCCTGGTATGTTTGAAGGAGGATGGGGGCCTGCCTGTTTCTTTTGGCGGACACCTTTTCCAAGTTAGTCTTATCCAAGAGCTGATGGCCCTTGTGCCCAGGTGTTTTACTGTGTCTCTCCACATTCTGATAGTTCTTTTTCTTAGATCCATAAGGCCATTCCCTTTTCCAGGAAGAATCCTCTTCTTCCTTTTGGTCCAGTAAGCAAGAACTCTCCAGGTCTTGGGTGAAGGAACAGGCCAGTGATGCTTTACTCTCTCCAGCACAGACAAAGGTATCAGGCTGGAACAAAGACAGCACAGTCACGCACGGGCTTCCTATTCCATGGTGGTAAGAAGCCTGGAAGGACTGAGGAGAAAGTCTAGCTTCCTGGATGTCTGCGGGGGTTGAAGTGGCTAAAGGGGGTGCCATGCAATCATCCCCCAAGCCCTGGATCAGATGGTCTAGCTGGGTTGCACCTTCCTTAGATTCTTTGTTGGTCTGACTTTCTATGTGAGACGAAACACTCCTCTGGTCACCACCATTTGTCTTTCCTAGTAAAACAAGACGAACAAATATTATTCTGCAGGAAAACTCCACCTGAGTAGGATTTAGGTGGCTTTTTCTGAAATCAGTATCAGCTACCATAACTACTAGTGCAGGAGTCTTAGGACTCTTCACAGATCTTTGTAGCCGATCTTCCTGCTTTCAATCTCTTTTCTTTCCTGAATGATCTAAAACACAGCTCTTATATTCACCTACTCAAATATATAGATGCTTCTGACCTACCTAATAAAAGTCAAACATGTTATACAGTCAGACCACAGCCTACTCTTCCAGTTGAGTGGGGTTTGTTTAACATAGGCCACATCAGTTTTGCTTTTGTTTTTTATTTAACGTAGTTTCTGCTAAATAGTGATCCTGGCCAAATATCACCCCTGGATATTATCCTTTGAGAAACATGTTCAATATACACCATTTTTGTAAAGTCTCAAAGATCACATTGACCAGCCAACGCTGAGAAACCTTCTGGTGACAGTGAGAAAGAATATGGGTCTCCTGCTCCCCAAAAATTTCATGGGAAAGGGAGTAAAGACACAATTAGATGCTAAGTCCATCAGTAGAAAGGACAATTAAAAAAACTATTACTGTCCAGCCTGTCTACTTTATCAGGTGTGGAATGGATCCTGTCTGCCTTAAAGATAGATGACGTGGAATTCCTACTGCCCTCCACCAAATTATGCTAAGATCTAATTACAAACAAGGCTTAATGACTGATTTCTACTCTCCTTTCCAAGAAATATACTACAGAAATTGTTTTGTAAAAGCGTTCTCAACTGGCCTAAGACTTCAATACAGACTATGTAGAAAATATCAGAATTTTGAAATGGAAAATGGTTTTGAGAAAAATCTGCCCTTGTTACTTAAAGCAAAAGAGTTTAAGTTTTTGTTTGTGGTAGGGAGAAGGCATTTTGAAGGTTTATGCAAAGCAATCCTGGGAACAGCACCAAGAGTTAGAGCTCTCTTCCCAGCACCCTTCAACTGGCAAGAACCCTGCTCTGTAAGCCCCAGCCTGGTCTGAGGCAGCTGGTCCCCTGAAGAGGAACATGCAAACAAAGAATTGCCAAAGGATGATGAAACACAAGCCAACTTTATGCCAAGCTTTCTAAGAAAAAAGCTCTTTTGAATTTTGATTAATTTGAGAAGCTTCATATAGACATATCAATTATCAGTTAATCTTATACAGGCTGCTAATTGTGGCCAATCCAAGACATATATCTTACTAATGGCACATCAGCTCCCCTCTGCACCCCCAACTCCCAAGTATGCCTTTCCTCACTGCTCTGTCAGGGAATACCAATATTTTTCTGGTTCTGTTTAGACTGAGATAAACAGAACCAGAAAAGTATGTTTGTAAAAGTATGTATATATTGCTTTCCAAAAGACAATGCTTTCTTGTGTTTTAAAACATCTTCTAATAGGTCAGCTAAGTTCAACACAATGCACTAATGGCACCACTTCTCATAGATATTCCAGCATGGAAAAATGAATGCACTCCCTTTTGGTCCCTGGTTGTTTCCAGTCCAGTCACCATACCTGGCTGCAAGGTGAAGAAGGAAGCAATGCTGGTCTGCCGAGTGCCTGCAGGTGGACGACTTCTTTGAGTAAAAGAAAAGTTAGCCTTTCTCTCTCCAGGAAAGAGTGTTAGCATTTTGGTACTTGACTTGATTAAATGTGTCTGAGAAGGGGGAGAAAAAGAATAAGAGAAACCTATTAATATCAAAACAGCTGCCAGACAGGATTCAGTAAACACCAGTTACCCTCTTGGAAACACACTAGACCTCTTGGATTCGACTCATATCCTCTAGTCTTTGCTGTACATCGCCTTCCATCATTTTCTGCCAACTGATAGTGTTTGTTTTTCCTCAAGAATCACATATTCCAACCATAGCCCATTCTTTCTGCTTCCCCATGGAAATCAGGCAGGCTGAATAAACAAACAGGAAGGGATTCCACAGGTGATATTATTCTCTCCTTTATATTTAAAGATAACTAATGAAACTAGGGACCTCTCTGGCAGTCCAGTAGTTAAGACTCTGTGTCCAATGCAGGGAGCCCGGGTTTGATCCCTGGTCAGGGAACTAGATCCTGCATATGCTGCAGCTAAAACAAAGATCCCGCGTGCCGCAACTCAAGATTGTGCACACAGCAACGAAGAGCCCGCGTGCAACTAAGACCTGGTACAGCCAAATACATAAATAAGTAAATAACTTTTTTTAATAATAGATAATTAATGATTCTACATCAGTAGCAGTTGATACATTTTTAATAGTTTTCAAATAGTCACACAGTGGTTAACAGCATGGCTCCTGAGTCACACAGCTTCTGTTCAAACCAGTACCAATTCTGCCACTGCCAATTACTAGCTGCATGACCCTCTAGAAGTTGTCTGATCTCTGTCTCATTCTCATGTGTGAAATGGGGACAATAATAGTACCAAGCCCATAGGGCAGTTACGAGGAGTTGTTGAGTTAATTCACATAAAAGGCTTACGAAGTTCTGGCACATATACAGCATTTAATAATAGTTGGCTATTATTCAGAGGAGGAGCAATGAAACAGCAACAGTCTTACTACATTTTCATCTCCCCGCCCTTTACACTTCGAGTATGAACTGGAAGATGGGCCAGAAAGGTTTGGAATGTGTCAACTTTTATACCTCATCCTTATTTAATGTAATTTGGTTTTGTTTCCATTTGCTTGTTATGGAGTGCTTGAGAAGTAGGGAGAATAGGATTATATTCTATTCAATTTGGCTGTGAAAGCCACAGAAGAAATGAGATTTGCCAATATCCATGTACCAAGTTGGAAGTAGGCCTGAAACTTGAACCCAAATTATTAATTCTAGCCCAAAGTTGACTTCATTTCATTTTTACATTTGGAAACTAAAATGTACTTTAAGTGGTTAAAAGATGGAAGAAATTCTGGATGTAAAATTCATACTTTGACTTGGAGTACTGGTATGGAACATTCTCTTCCACCATACAAAACTGGATAAAATACATGAAACAACTGATTTTAGACAATGGATAGCAGGCAGTGCAGAGCTGTGATCCCCAAGAGCAGGAAAACAAATGAGGTGAACCCTGGGACATCCTAGCTTTCTGCTTGGCAGCACTTGTCAGAATGCAATGTATAGAGAGAGTACTCAGGCAAAGCATTGCAGTCTTGATAAATTGAGTAGACTGAGATTGGAATTTGGGGAAGATGAGGTGGCTGGGATTTGCAGTGCAGAGAAATACATCCAGAAATCTACATAGAGATCCCTTCAGTCCATTACTGAATACTAACCTACAAGTGTGTTAGGCGAAACCCCGTGAGGCCAGACAAAGAAATGCCAGGAACTGCAAGATGAACAATTCCCAGAGCTCACACAGGGCTGGGAGAGTTCCCACTAGGCAAAGTGGAAAGACCTTTTTAATACCAGTGGCATTCAGCAGAATTAGCAGAAGGATCACCCCTTAGCAGTAGAGCTAAACTAGCTGCAGAGCAAAAACTTCCAAACCTGTCCTAACAAAGCTTAAAAGCAAGCTTGATTAGCAAGTAACTACCTGCCAAAACAAATTTCGTCATTCTTTAAAGACAGTAAAATCCAGATACCCAGCAATGTAGCACACAACAAAAAAATTGCTAGATATGTGAAACAGCAGGAAAACAATCCATAATGGGGGCTGGGGGGTGGCGTGGGGGATCGGTTAAATGGAAACAGAGTCAGAAATATCAGGGATGACAGAATTAGCAGACAAACTTTACAATAAATATGCTCAAGGATTTAAAGGAAAGCGTGAAAATACTGAGAAAAAGAACATACAAAAAATTCACTAGATGGGCTTAACAACAGATTAGAGACTACAGGAAAAAAATAACAGTGGACCTGAAGTCACAGCAATACAAACTATCCAAAATGAAGCAGAGAGAGAAACAAACTGAAAATAAATTCTTAACGGTCTGCGGGGTATCAAGCATATATATAATGAGAATTCAAAAAAACAAGGTGAAAGTGGGCAGAAAATATACTTAAAGAAATAATGGCCCAAATTTGATGAAAACTACAAACAACTGTGATTGTCTTTTTCAAAGACAATCAAAGACCAATTCAAAGGCAATTCAAAGACCAATACAAGATCTCCCATTTCACATGCTTTTCTTATAATTTGCCCTTGCTACTCTTCCCATCAAGTGGTGAGTCATATTCCCTTACCTTGAACTGGTGAAGAACTTTGTGACTGCCTGACCAATAAAGTATGATAGAAGCAACACTACATGATTTCCAAGACTGGGTCATAAAAATGCCATGCACTTCTCTGCCTTGCTTTCTTGAGATGCTCACTCTTGGAACCAGAGGAAACCCAAGCAGGCACATGGCTATGAGGAAGCCCCCCATGCTATGAGGAAACCCAAGCAGGCACATGGCTCTCTAAATTGTATGGGAGACACATCCTAGATATGTGAAATAATGTGAGTTAGTATGCCAACAAGTATCTGAGCACCGATAGGCTAGGTACTAGGAAACAGTGATGAACAAAACAAGTGTTTCTGCCCTGATAAAGCTTACAGCTTAAGGGGGAAAACAGATAAACTAGTAATAGTTATTTAAATTACTACATGTATGCTAAATCCTATAATGACAACTTATAGAAAACTACAGATTATCGGAAAACAGTTAAGAGCTCAATTAGCAAAACGTCTGGGAATAAGCTTTTTACCAAATTGGCCATACTTATCAGGATTAGACTCCATCCTTGGGTCAGAGCGATGTCAGGAGTAATACTGCCCCAGATATAGACCTCTCAGAAAATCCATGGCTTCAAGTATTTACATTTATCTCAGTAGAATGTTAAGACTGTGAGTGAGAGGAGGTAATCTGGAACTGAGGAGGGCCCAGGTACAAAGCCCTTCAGCTGATTATCCCTACCTCAAAATAAAGGCAGCCCCTGTATGTACATTACATAGTATAAGAAGGCCTATCTAATAGGCATCAGGTTCCTACAGGACCAAACCCCATGGTAAGCCACAGCCTACATATTGACAATTTTTACCCTACAAGAATGCCCTGAAGAACCTAACTTCAAGAGGCACATTCCCTCCAAAACTAAAGAATCTCTAATCCTTTGGTATATCACATTCATGGCCCAATCGTTTTCTTCTTTCATAGTGGTAGAAGGAAAAACTGACTTCCTACAACTATGGAGCTCCTGCTACTCTTGCTATATTACAAGGATCTCCTATGACGTGTTCCTACAGAGAATGATGCTTTGGGGTGGGGGGGCAAGGATTACCCCAAAAGTGATCCTTTCTTATACTCACAACTCTAGTAGCAAAGCAAATCTGGGATCATATACATCACCTCTCTTACTATTAGAAAATGTTTTCATGCCCCCATAGCATTTAAATTCTGTAGAGCCCTCATTCTATCTGCAAGTTTGTCTTAAAGCTCTACTTTTTTTTTTTTGCGGCAGGCGGGCCCCTCACCGCCGTGGCCCCTCCCGTTGCAGAGCACAGGTTCCAGACGCGCAGGCTCAGCGGCCATGGCTCATGGGCCCAGCCACTCGGCGGCACGTGGGATCCTCCCGGACCGGGGCACGAACCCGTGTTCGGCAGGCGGACTCTCAACCACTGCACCACCAGGGAAGCCCTTAAAGCTCTACTTTTAAACCAATTCCTTTTTTTGATTCATACGGTCTTCAAGCCTGGTATATAATTTGATCCAACTTCCTTTTTTTTCATAATAGTTACTCTGGTCTTGAATCTGTGTATGAAGTATCACTTTCCATATAAAGTGACAGCTTTGAAATACAAGAATGTGTGTATTTAGCTCTTTTTGCCATGCTACCTCTTCCTTTATGCTTCCCAGGGCCCATACTCATCTTTTCCCACTTCTAAAATCACAGAAAGCAACATCAAGTCCCCCCTTCCTCTTTAGTCTCTCACAGCACTAATTTGATGACATTCTGAATGAAAACCTTTTCTCATTAGTCACTATCATGCCTCATTCAAGTCAGGCTGAAAGGATGATACTACCTAATAAGAATGCCCTAAGGAGGATTGTTTAAGGAGTCTGACCAAGAAAAGCTGTCTGAATTCTCATCATCTCCAACAATAAAAATCACCTCTGTTGAATTAGTAACAAAGTATTAATTCAGAACTTGCTTCAAACTTTCCAAACCCTCAAAAAAAATAATACATTACCCTAGTTCAGAATTTCATAAACTCCATAGTCCTAGACTATTAGAATAACAGTCTCTTGACTGGTCAGGCCCCCATTTACTACCTGTTTCAATCAGTCCCATACCCAACATCTAGATAAATCTTAAAGCACAACTGTGATCATACCATCTTGTTCTGGCAAGAACCTATAGCATAAAATGTAGACTCTTAGACTGCCCACACTTATACAATTTCAGCTTCCTTTTTCTCCATTACCAAAAACCCTTTATGCACACTCTAACATAATACTCAACTAGATACCAGTCCCTATTATGGACTTCACCTTCCTCACTTCTGTGCCTCACAGAGAAGGGCCTTTTTCAACCCAACTCTGAAATGTTACCTATTCTTCAACTTAAGAGCCAAGCATTCCTGATTCTCACAGCTAGATGTGACCTCTTCCTCTTCTGAACTCGGTATTTCAAGACTTACACTACAAAATCTTGGGATCAACATTTGATTCACATACTTT